TTCTTATTATTACGAAATTATTTTTCTCAGTGTTGATGTAAGGTTACTGTTAATATAAAGTAATATGAAAATATATTAAAAATAATTATATTATAATATATATTATATTATAAATTTTTTTGTATAAAAAATGATATATTTGGTAAAGTACTTTATGAACCCCAATAGGGTCTGTCAAATAAAAGTTACTGCGCAGCCGTATGTGCCATAGAAAACTACTGCGCATAAATATTAATAAATTTTATTTACTAACAACATTCTATGTTTACAGTAACCTTACATCAACCTTACAGTAGCCTTAAAGGAAGCTTACAACTACCTTACCGTGTAAGCTTACCACAACCTTACCATGTAAACTTACCACGACATTACTGTGTAAGCTTACCTTAGCTTTACTGTGTAAGCTTACTGTAAGGCGGAAGTTTTAAGATGACCTCAAGTTTACTGCAGGCTTACACGGTAACCTTACAAACCCTACAGATATCCTTACAGTAACCTCACAGCAAGAAGTCGTGCTATGTGGGCTACTATTTGTTCTCTAAGGATTAATATAAATTATGAATTCTTATTAAAATTGAAAATTTAAAAAGTTCAATTTTTTCAAACAATTTTTTTATCACATGTGTTTTTTTCACATATTTTTCTCCTGTTCTCATAATGAAACATTTTTTTAAAATTTTAATAAGAATTCATAGTTTATATTGATCTTTATAGAACAAATAATAGGATTATTTTATAACAAACAATTATATTTTTACTATTTTTTAGTTAGTTTTTTCCTACTCTTTTACTATTGTAGTTTTCTACAGGTTACATTTTTTAATGTTTATTCCCTTTTTAAAACTAGTTCAGCGATTTATTACGTACTATAATATTTCACTTCATAACTTAAATTCTATTCCATTTTTTCAAAAAACTTTTTTACAAAACATATTACAATTAAATTCTTGTACACCCAGAGAAATGTTTTATTTGAATTAAATCAAATATATTTGACTTAAATAAAAATGGATATTTGTCTCAGAGCCTACTAAAGTTTTCTTTGTCTCAAATAAATTTTTATATTTAAATTTGAGACAAATAAATTTTTATTTGCTACAAATATATTTTATATTTAGGACAAATAAATAAAAAGTTTTGAATGTAATATATTTAATTGCAAAATTGCCTGGTATTCAGCCAAATATTCTGGAATTGCTATAATTAAAATTTATGATTCAAATTGAAAATCTTAAATTTTTACATTTCGTGGTTATTTTTTTGTATGTTCCGTGGATATTGTTGAAACATAACAATTTTTTAAAATAAATTTGTGCAGAATTTAACGGTGTTTAATTTAACTGTGTAGAATTTAACAAAATTAATATTTTTTATTATATAAACGTGTGTAGAATTTAACAGTGCAGAATTTAACACAACTAATAAACTGATGCGAAGAAATTTATTTTGTAGAATTTAACTGTGTAGAATTTTATAGTAATAATTATCATTTTTTTAAACAAATTTGTGCAGAGTTTAACGGTGTTCAATTTTACTGTGTAGAATTTAACAAAATTATTTTTATTTTTAAATATAAACGTGTGTCGACTTTTAACGGTGTACAATTTAACTGTGTTGAATTTAACGAATTAATTTTTATTTTTAAATATGAATGTGTGTAGAGTTTGTCGGTGTGCAATTTAACTCTGTAGAATTTAACAAATAAATTGTGCAAAATTAAACTAGTGTAAAATACAACATTGTAGAATTTAACGTGTAGAATTTATACGGTGTAGAATCTAAATGTGTAGAACTTGAACCGCCCCAAATAATTAGCTTAATAATTAGTTAATTAATTTTTTACTACGAAAATTTAACAAAAAAATTCTTTATCGTAATATTTTTTTTGGCCACAAATTTTTTTTTTGTCAAATTTTCGTTAAAAATAAGTAATTAACGAATTATTAAGTATGACATTATGTTATTAATAGTTATTTATGACATTAATTATTTATTAAGTTAATTATTTGTCATATTTAAAATAAAATAAAATATCTAATAAAATCAAATTTTTCAAATGTTCTGATGGCTCAGCTCTGGACTTTAGTTCGCTCAATGCCACAGGGAGGGCGAACATCATAACTGTTTCTCTCAGTTGAGGTGCCATTAGATTGGTATATAAGCAGTGATCGAAAATTTTTTTCTTGTCGAAATTTTTTTCTGCCCGATGTCTCTCCTATTTTTTGGATTTGAGACAAATTCTTTTTTGGAAGAAATGATTTCCCTAATACTTTGATGACCATTTTTTTATTTTAATGTAATTATTAAAAATAAAATAATAATAATAACTATTAAAAATAATAAAATGATGGTTGCCATTAATTCGCCTATGGTATTTTTCCCATTGGGTACTTACTAAATTACTAAATAAGTAATATTAAAATAATTATTGCAACATCGTATACGACATCGTAAACGACGTAGTAAACGAAGTCATTTGCTATCCCAAATTCCGCTTTCATTTACTATGTCGTTTACTATGGGTGTTTTCGGCATTCACTCAGAGTTAACTCTAGAGTTAGCAGTGGTGCTCAAATGTAAATTTTGATTTTCAGTTCGTCTGTTGGTTGTGAACGTTGTTGATTGGCAATTTGGCATAGACGATTCATTTTGATTGGCGCAGGGTTTGCAATTGTAACAACATGTGAAACGGGCCTTTTATTCTAGTAATGCAATGTTAAAATAAAATTTTTTGTTTCTAGATTTCATAAAAGTCCCCAAAAATTTATTACAAGATGACCCAGAGTTAACTCTGTTTTCTTGCGAGAGTAAAGAAAAAGGGTCAGTCCTAACCTTTAATGGCCGACAAAATTTGTGAACGGATTGTTTGTTTTGAAAAGTGTAAATTGAAACATAATAATTTATTTTTATTAAAAATTATTTTAACTTTTTATTTATAAAAAACAACTTTAATTAAAATAAATAATCTAGTTCCTTAAACAATTCAGATTAATTAAAGTTAGGGAAATAATGAAAAATTTGAAAACTATAAACTTTAAAAAAATAACACGTTTATGGGTAGCAAAAATATGTTCCATTTTTAAATGAAAAACAAAAAATACGTATAAATTAAAAAAAGTAAGCAAACAAGGACAACTAACTTCAAACTCAGGGTGATGAAAATAGAAAATCAATTATTTTATTTAGGTAAATAAATTTTCAAAGATAATATCATTGAGCACCACTGTTAACTCTAGAGTTAACTCTGAGTGAATGCCGAAAACACCCAATGTCGTTTTCTACGTCGTTTACTACGTCGCAAACTACTTAGAATAGGACGTCGTAAACGAGGTCGGAATTTTCAACAGGGATAGTATAAGGCAACGCCTCTTTAGCAGGAACGTCCATACAAAATTAACATAGAGGGCTCCCATACTACGAACGCTTGATTTTTCTCTCCGTGTATGAGGACTTGTACTTTTCAAGAACAACCGACAAATCTTGGCACCACTTTAGTGAAATACATCATGGGAGATTGGTCTCCTGTACCTAGTCTATTTTCCATGAGCATCATGTTTACACTCTCTTGGTGACATTTTAATCGATTTAACCTCCTTGACAGAATTGCACACAATAATATGCGTTATCTGCGACTCAAGAGTCATCTGTAGGTACCGTGTGAATATAAAAATACTTTTCCTTTTCTCGCGCTTAGTTTAAAATTTTTAATACATGTAATCGAATTATTCTAACTATAAATATTAAAAAATCTAGTCTTATTAGTATAACTACTGCAAAAGCAAACTTTAAAAAGAATATGTATATTTTTCCTTTATTTTGATGCATAATAAATAGAAAATCCATTATAGAAAACCAGGCGCAAAATTTGGCATCTGGCAAATGTAATTTTTTCGTAAAAAATTATAAGCTTTTAGAGAATAAAAATAAATCGTTAAAGCGAAATCTTTCATTTTATCCGTATATCGAAACCGTGATTTCTTTTTTCCAGTATTATCTAGTTCGTTTTTAAAATTTAATTTAATTTAAAAACATTAAACTAATATAAAGAAGATAGGTATTAATTACAATTATGTACCTACTCTTTTATAATAAAATATTTACATTAATCATTAGTTTGAATTTCGAGTTGAACGTCTTTGTATATTTTCACTTTAAAATTTCAAAACGTAACCTATAATTTTTTTCTTCTAAGGTCCCTTTCTTCCGATCACGTCACATATTTATTAGATTTTGTTAACTTACTCCTCAGTTGTATGAGGAAAGTCGATAACACTGTGCTACATAGTTCAAAAAATGAACAAACTGGGCATATAGTGTATTAACTTAATTTGGGTACGCTGAATTCGATAGCGTTAGCCGTTTTTCAAGATCGGGTCAAATTTTTTAAATTATCGCCATTTTGTATTTTTTGCCCATTATCAAAATAAATTTTTCTAATCAAAAAAAATAAACTTGACTTGAAGCTAGCTACTCGGGGGGTTTTTAGGCTCGCTGATTACGAATCCGGTGTCAATTTTTCAAAACTCAAAATGTCGGATCCAATATGGCGGACTTTTTTTCAAAAATCGTTCGAATTCGATTTAAATTGTCTACACTGGGGTTTTCGGGGTCTCTGATTTCGAATTCAGTGTCAGTTGTTTTAAATTCAAAATGGCGGACCAATATGACGGATTTAAAAAAAAATCGTTCGAATTCCATTGCTTTATGAGGCCCTCGCATACATTTCAAAATATTGAACCTCGTTTACTAAAAGGAATACAAGGTTCATAAAATTGATGTTCTTTTTTGGCGATTCCGATAGGAAAAACACGCTGTTTAGGAATCCTTAAGTCAGTTTCAAGAATTTCAAATTTAATATGGTAAATGAATTTCTAACAATTCGTCGAATTCACTTAAAACTCGTTACGTGGTAGTTTTACAGCGTACCCAAATTAGGTCAAAACCTACATTGTACTCTAATATAGGGATATATTTTAGTTATCTAAATTATTAATTCTTAGATTTTAGCCTGCACAACTGATGTATCGAAGCAGCAGAAAAGAAATTTGAATGTGCACGAACATATTAGCTACAGTCTTTTGAATGAAGCTGGAATTCCTACACCTAAATTTGGAGTGGCCAAATCTCCAGAAGAAGCATCAAAAATTGCTGCCAACCTACAAACTAAAGATATAGTTTTAAAAGCTCAGGTCCTTGCTGGAGGACGTGGCAAAGGCCATTTCAAAGGTACCAACGTTAGTGGCGTGAAGATGTGCGAAACGTAAGTTTTTTAAATCATAAAATTATATTGTTATCTATTTTATGTGTAACAAATTATTAACACGATATGTTTGGATGAACTTGTAACAAGTAACATAAAAATTCGGGTAATTGAAAGTTTCATAAAAAATAAATTCGGCTAAATTCAAATTCTATTAAATAAAAATCGATTTCAAATAATAATCATGTTAAATAACAATTTTTTTAGATACAATTTCTATTAAACAAAATTTCTAGTAAATATAAATTCGTAATTATAAAAATTCTTTCAATAACAAGTTCTTCTGTTTTCATCTTCTAATTATAAATCACATAAATAATAATAATAATTCTATCACAATATTTATAACATAAATCACTCCTTAAAATGATCATACAAATATTAATTTCCATTATTAAATTTGAAAATTTTTCGGGTATAAAGGTTTGTAACTTCTTAAGAAATTATTATATCACTTATAAGTAACCCCATTAATTTCTGTGAAGGAACACACAAACGATTCTAGGTCGAGATCCTTTATAAGTTCTTACGAGATTTCCTTCATAAAAACTTTTACGTGTATGAAGTTCTTTGAAACCATCAAAGTGATACGTGACGTTTCCTTTTATGTCGAAAATATTAGCATCACAAAACGCGAATGCATAAACTCATCACCTCTGAGGTTTTCAGTAGAAATGTGCACGGTAATTTGTATGTTTTTTAAAATTAATATTTTCTCGTTTTTAGGAGTGGTTTAAAATGTATTTTTGTGTGCTGACCGCGATCCAGAGTTCCAAAATTGCGTCTCACGTCAGGATTTTGAGTAAAGTGGGGGGTAAAGTCTCCAAAAACCGTGTTTTTTAGGGTTTTAATTATTTTTTTCTTAACCTGACATGCTAGACACTTCTATATGTGACCGGGTCTGAGAAAACGGTCATATCAACCAAAATCATCTTTTCGAGAAAAACGCGTTTAAAGTATTTTTAGGACCTTAAACTATAAGAATCCGTCATAAAAAAATTTTCTTTTGTCGATATCACAATGCGAAGTTCTCAAAATATTGCTGAAAACAAGAAAATGTCCGCATATGAGGTAATATTTTAGCGTTCATTGGATAAATATTTCATTCCAATAGTTTGAAAATTTTCAACTTAAATGATGCTCACTGGTTGATCTCAATTTCTATAGCATGTACAGCTGTGCAGTATTTTTTAATTTTTTAGAAACCTATGGAAGGTGATATGTAAGAAAATACCGATTGATTCATGATTCAAAATTTTCTTTAAAATATTTCCTGAATATTGCAGAGTCTTCATATGTAATATTGCAGGAATATTAAGCGTAATATTTCAGCAAAATTGCATGGCAAAATTTCTCAATAGATGGATATTTTCCTGTTTTCATCATCATTTCATGAACCTTGCACTGAAATATTTTAAATCTTTTAATGAAATATTCAGGAAATATGATGTGCACTGAGAGAAAAAAGCTGCCGTTCTAGCCGTAAAGCCATGCTATTTTGTCATGAGTTACACTGCCAACAGAAAACTGCTGTTTCAGTATTGGAACACTGCACAGTGAGCCAGAATCGACAAAAAGTGTCCAAAATTATAAAACAATTTTTTATTGCAACAGAACTACGTACTTTTCTGTTTTCGGGGTCGCTGATTACGAATTCGATGTCAGTTTTTAAAAATTCAAAATGGCGGACAAAATTTAATAATGAACAAAATCGCTTGAAATTTGTTACTCGGGGGTTTTTGGGATCACTGATTACGAATTTTACATTTGTTTTGCAAAATTCAAAGTGTCGGATCCAATATGGCGTACGAAAAAATTTAACAATGAACAAAATCGCTTGAAAATTTTGAAAATTTTTTATTTGGTTGTTTTGAGGTCGTTGATTACGAATCTACTATTAGTTTTCAAAAAATTATATGTGTGTACCTATTATTTGCCTATAAATGTAATTCTAACATGTAGTTTCCGGCATCCACTGCGTGGAGGTTATAGGTATTCAAGAACCCCATTTTTTCATTTTTTTACTTTTTAAAATTTTAATTTTTTAACATTTAAAAATTTTTTTTTATATTTTCTAATTTTTATTTAAAAATTTTTAAACACTTATAAGAATAATATATTTACACGTACACATTTATTCAAAATCTAATCAATCTCCTCGCTTTCAAGCCATACACTATGTAACAGCTCAAAAGTTGTTAATATTCCAGTTTCATCACTGTTACTTGTATCTTCATCAGCATCATCTTGTTCGTGTTCATCGTCAGTCAAAACGTTTTCATTTTCGAGAATTGCGAGTGAATCAATAACCTCACGAGGAAGAGGTAACTTTTTTTTGTTTAAACGAGAAATAAGACCGACAGTTGACATAACTGTATCTATAATATCTGTATAAGATCTATAAAAAAGATCTTATAATGTAGCTTCAGTAGAAAATTTTCTGCAGTGAAATTGTTTAAAATGTTTATAGTTCATGGAGAAAAAACGAATTTTCAGAAATAGTACTGAACACTAGATATTTTAAGACGAATAATTTATTTTTAGGATTCTATATTAAAATTTAAATTTTTAGTACTAGGATTTTGTATCGAGTCCTAAAAATCTACCAATGCGAATCCAGGATCAAATTTGATCAAGTATTCTAAAACTGTTTGGGATTCAGTCCAAAAGTTTTCGAAACAGTTTAATGGATATTTGTTTACGTTCATAATTTTTTGTTATTAAGTCTAACGCTACTGGTTAACGTTCTTAATTTCTAATTCTAATTATAAAACTTTAAGACTCTTCTTATAAAATTCATCGTGGATTTGCATTCCTCAATTGAGGGCCCCGATTCTATAAGGAGACTTACGCTTGAAGCAGCCGCCTTGCGATCAGTCAGGTGGTTCAAAAATGAAAAAAAAGTAAAATTCAAAATTAAAATTTTTTAAAAACGCTATCCTGTAGGAAATGAAAATCCGCACCTTTTTTTCCTTTGAGATTTTTTTATAAAACGAATATTAAAATTAATAGAGGTAGAAAAGTAGAAAATTTTTTTACGATAATTTAATGGACTTTTAAAAGATAACTCGTCGTAATTTTGACAAATATTAATGGATTTTTTTGAAATTTGGTGCATTTTATTCAGTTTATACTATTAAAGACGACAATCATAAAAAAATCAAGAAAATTGTTATTATTTAATATTAAATAATAATAAAGTTTTAATTTTGAAAATATGTGTTTTTCAACCTTCTACTGAAAAAGTTATCGAGGGAATTTTCATTCTGGAAAAACTTCTCGCGATAAAGTTTTTCCTTACATATTAAAGAAATTTTTCCAAAAGTTTGGAATTAATTCTATAAAAAATAAAGAAGTTATAAGGAAAATAGTGAAAAACTATTTTTCCTTATACTGCAGCAGTAGCCGTGACACCTCACGGCTTAGTTTCTTCAGGGGCGTTCTTATTATATAATTCGCCCTACACTCGATCATCAAAAAATAATTATTTATTGGTTATAAAAAATATTTTTTTCTAACACACGCACCGAAAGTACACCATTTCTTACCTGTAAAGGGGGAGAAAAGTATGTCGTTCCCAGCGAGCGGGAGGGAAAGTTACTTTCCCTCCCGCTGACGTCACTGACAGTGAGAAAAAGTTCTTTTTCTCCCTGTGACGTCACTAGCAGGGAGGGAATATTACTTTCCCTCCCCGTAACGTCAATTTTTATTTCTGTTGTTTATAGAATATTAAGAAGAACAAGAACAGTATATTATTGAATTTACTGTCAAACTATCGATTCGAAATATGGAGTTTAAGTTGAATGTTGATATTTCGATATATCGAATCAAATTTAAAATCGATAATCACGTAAACAATAGTGTACACTTTCTCCGCTTGTTGTCTCTGTCAATTCTGTTGATCAGTAATTTTTTTATCGGCTTTTTCGTGTGCGTGTTCATTGTGTAATTGATTAAATAAAAAAATGGACAACAGCGATTTAGAGTTTTCTGGAACACCACCAGACGTTACTGATGCGGCGTCAAGTGTTGTGACAAATTTATTGCCAACAAAATCAATCAAATCAGATTTTAATTAAGGCTCAAAATTTCTGAAGTGGGCCACTAATTTTTCGATGGCGAGATTTTTATAAGTCATATCAATAATTTTATAGTATTTTCGAATCAAAATAAGATCCTAAAGTTATATTGCAAAATTTTAATTTTTTTAAGAGTTATTGTTTAAACAATTTTTAAGCAGCCAATTAGTAAAAAAAGCTTTTCTACGGTTCCATTTGATGGATTTTGCTGAAATTTGGTATGAGTAATGTACAATAACCATGCTTTCAAATAAAAAAAATTTGTTTCATTTTGTTCATAATTTGTTGAAAATAGCAACAATTATTATAAACAAATGAAAATTTAATAACCTTCTGCGCCTAATTTCGTATTTTTTCTTGTCAATTATGATTCCCTATTTTATCACGAGTATTTAAAAAAAAAAAGTCAGTATATTGCATTAGGTCAAAAGTTATTAATATATTTGTGATCGCGGTCCGAGAACTAAGTGGAACTCCGCGCCGGACGAATACGCTGAAACACGTTAGAACACGAGCGCGCTCTTGGACCTTGCTGTTCTTTTGAGTGCATGTGTATAATTTAATTTTTAAATTCATATTTATTTGTAATTTCCCTTACTATTAAAAAATTATATTTGCATAATATTTAATAATTTTTCTATTTGTACAGAATATTTTGTATACGTAAGTATTTTAAATGCCTATTCGTTCACGAGTATTTTAAAGTTTATTGTTTATGAAAATTATAACCTTATATCACAAATATATTTCACACTCTGCTTCTATTTCTCATGAAAAATAAAAATGCCGTCACCAAATGTATGCTGCAACCCCTTGTTAAAGAAAAATCATAGACGTGTGATGAAAAACCTTAATTTAAAAAAAAAAAAAAAAAAAAAAAAAAATTGAAAAATTGAAAAATTTGATAAAAAATTTACTAAT